AGTTTTTGGGAAATTTTGAGGGGGAAACGGGTCCCAGTGCATTCATAGGTTTTTTTTGGGGAAAAAAGGGATTTTGGGACGGTTTCTGAGGGGAAAAAGGGATCCCCGAGCTCCAAATCCAAAGTTTTTGGGAAATTTTGAGGGGAAAAGGGGCTCCCGGTACATTCATAGGTTTTTGGGGGGGAAAGAAAGGGATTTTTGGGACTTTTTCTGAGGGGAAAAAGGGATCCCGGAGCATTAAATCAAATATTTTTGAGGAAATTTGAGGGGAAAAGGGGTCCCTGAATCCCGTTTTGAGGAAAAATTCAGGGGAAAAGAGGGAATTTCAAACAATAAATTTCCTTTTTTGGGGGAAAATCGAGGGAAAAAATGGAATCCCAAAACCTAAATTCCATTTTTTTGGGGGGATTAAGGAATCCCAGAGGCTTTTTGGGAGAAAAAATTGAGGGGAAAAAAAGAATTTCAAATCCTGATTTCCCTTTTTAGGAGAAAATTTTGGGGAAAAGGGGGTCCCACAAAGGGGTTTTGGGGGATTTCGGACACTTTTTGGTAACTTTTGATCATTTTAATGCCGTTTTTCATTTATTTAAAACACTTTGCTGTAAGTTTTGATCACTTTAATGCCATTTTTTTATTCTTTTAAGACACTTTTCCGTAACTTTTGCTCACTGTAATGTCACTTTTATTCGTCTTAATGCCATTTTTGACCCTTTTAAGGCACTTCAATGTCACTTTTGGTCACTTTAATGCCATTTTTGGTCACTTTAATGCCACTTTTCATCACTTCAATGCCACTTTTGGTCACTTCAATGCCATTTTTGGTCACTTCAATGCCATTTTGGGTCACTTTAATGCTATTTTTGGTCATTTTAATGCTATTTTTGATCATTTTAATGCCATTTTGGGTCACTTTTGGCCACTTTAATGCCATTTTTGGTCACTTTAATGCCATTTTGGGTCACTTTTGATCACTTTAATGCCACTTTTTACTCTTTTAAGACACTTTTCTGTAACTTTTGCTCACTGTAATGTCACTTTTATTCGTCTTAATGCCATTTTTGACCCTTTTAAGGCACTTCAATGTCACTTTTGGTCACTTTAATGCCATTTTTGGTCACTTTAATGCCATTTTGGGTCACTTTTGATCACTTTAATCATTTTGAGTCCCTTTTGGCCACTTTAATGCCATTTTGGGTCACTTTTAATGCAATTTTCGGTCACTTTTGGCCACTTTAATGCCATTTTGGGTCACTTTAATGCCATTTTGGGTCACTTTAATGCTATTTTTGATCACTTCAATGCCATTTTTGATCACTTTAATGCTATTTTTGATCATTTTAACACCATTTTTGGTCACTTCGATGCTATTTTTGATCACTTTAATGCCATTTTGGGTCACTTTTGGCCACTTTAATGCCATTTTTGGTCACTTTTGGCCACTTTAATGCCATTTTGGGTCACTTTAATGCCATTTTTGGTCACTTCAATGCTATTTTAGATCACTTTAATGCCATTTTGGGTCACTTTAATGCCATTTTGGGTCACTTTTGGCCACTTTAATGCCATTTTTTTCTCCATTTAAGACACTTTAATGTAACTTTTCCTCCATTTCCTGTAACTTTGCCTCCCTGCACCCCAATTTTGGGTGGATTTCAGTCACTTTTGGGTCAGTTTCGCTCAGTTTTGGGTGGTTTCAGGTCAGCTTCTCTCAGTTTTGGGTCTTTTTCCATCGGTTTTGGGTCGTTTCGTTCGATTTTGAGTAATTTCCCCTTGGTTTTGAGTCGGTTTCAATCAATTTTGGGTCGTTTTCACTCAGTTTTGGGTAGTTTCAGGTTGGTTTCACTCCATTTTGGGTCATTTGGACTCAATTTCGTGTGGATTTCGCTCGGTTTTGGGTGGTTTCAGGTGGATTTCACTCAGTTTTGGGTGGATTTCACTCAATTTTGGGTCTGTTTCTCTCAATTTTGGGTCTGTTTCTCTCAATTTTGGGTCTGTTTCTCTCAATTTTGGGTCAGTTTCTCTCAGTTTTGGGTGGTTTTGGGTTGGTTTCACTCCATTTTGGGTCACTTTCACTCCATTTTGGGTCTGTTTCTCTCAATTTTGGGTCAGTTTCTCTCAGTTTTGGGTGATTTCAGGTCGGTTTCAGGCACTTTTGGGTCATTTTCAGTGAGTTCTGGGTCATTTTCTCTCAGTTTTGGGTCATTTTCTCTCAGTTTTGGGTGGTTTCAGGTCCATTTCACTCCATTTTGGGTCACTTTCACTCCATTTTGGGTCATTTTTTATCAGTTTTGGGTGGTTTCAGGTCACTTTCACTCCATTTTGGGTGAATTTCATTCCATTTTGGGCCATTTTCACTCATTTTTGTGTGTTTTCACTCCATTTTGGGTCACTTTCAGTTTTGGGTCATTTTCTCTCAGTTTTGGGTGATTTCAGGTCAGTTTCACTCCATTTTGGGTGGATTTCTCTCCATTTTAGGTCATTTTCCCTCATTTTGGGGTCATTTTCACTCATTTTTGTGTGGTTTCACTCTGTTTTAGGTCATTTTCTCTCAGTTTTGGGTGGTTTCAGGTCAATTTCACTCCACTTTGGGTCATTTTCCCTCATTTTTGTGTGTTTTCACTCCGTTTTGGGTCAGTTTCACTCCATTTTGGGTCATTTTCCCTCATTTTTGTGTGTTTTCACTCCATTCTGGGTCACTCTCACTCCATTTTGGGTCGCTTTCACTCATTTTTGTGTGTTTTCACTCCATTTTGGGTCACTTTCACTCCATTTTGGGTCATTTTTTATCAGTTTTGGGTGGTTTCAGGTCACTTTCACTCCATTTTGGGTCATTTTTTATCAGTTTTGGGTGGTTTCAGGTCGGTTTCACTCCATTTTGGGTGAATTTCATTCCATTTTGGGCCATTTTCACTCATTTTTGTGTGTTTTCACTCCATTTTGGGTCACTTTCACTCCATTTTGGGTCATTTTTTATCAGTTTTGGGTGGTTTCAGGTCGGTTTCACTCCATTTTGGGTGAATTTCATTCCATTTTGGGCCATTTTCACTCATTTTTGTGTGTTTTCACTCCATTTTGGGTCACTTTCACTACATTTTGGGTCATTTTCATTCCATTTTGGGTCACTTTCACTCCATTTTGGGTGGCTTTCACTCGTTTTTGTGTGTTTTCCCTCCATTTTGGGCCATTTTCCCTCATTTTTGTGTGTTTTCACTCCATTTTGGGTCACTTTCACTCCATTTTGGGTCACTTTCACTACATTTTGGGTCATTTTCATTCCATTTTGGGTCACTTTCACTCCATTTTGTGTCACTTTCTCTCCATTTTGGGTCACTTTCCCTCGTTTTGGGTCACTTTCACTCGTTTTTGTGTGTTTTCCCTCCATTTTGGGTGGCTTTCACTCCATTTTGGGTCACTTTCCCTCGTTTTGGGTCACTTTCCCTCGTTTTGGGTGGCTTTCACTGGTTTTTGCGCGCCTCCCCTCGCCTCCAGCGGCGCAGGTTGAGCCCCAGCAGCGCCAGGTTAACCCCGTAGGTGCTGAGGCAGACCACGCACAGGTCCCTGAGGCCGAAGAGCAGAACCCCGCCGAGCCACAGCGAGGCCAGCGCCGAGGCCACGGAGGTGCCCAACAGCGTCGCCGCGGCCGCCCGGCCCCGCGAGGCGCCTGCGGGAGGGCGGGGGTCACTGGGGGGGCCCTGGTGGCCCCAGAGTGTCCCCGAGGGGTCCCCGAGGGGTCACCAGTGTCCCCAAGGGGTCAGCAAGGGGTCACCAGTGTCCCCAGTCCATTCCCAGTGTCCCCAGTTCATCCCCAGTGTCCCCAGCTCATCCCCAGTTTGTCCCCAGCCCATTCCCAGTGTCCCCAGTTTGTCCCCAGTTCATCCCCAGTGTCCCCAGCTCATCCCCAGTTTGTCCCCAGCCCATTCCCAGCGTCCCCAGTTTGTCCCCAAGGCATTCCCAGTGTCCCCAGTGTCGCCACCTCATTCCCAGTGTCCCCAGTTTGTCCCCAGAGGGTCCCCAGTTTGTCCTCAGCCCATTCCCAATGTCCCCAGTTTGTCCCCAAGGCATTCCCAGTGTCCCCAGTTTGTCCCCAGTTTGTCCCCAGTTTGTCCCCAGTGAGACCCCACCTCATTCCCAGTGTCCCCAGTTTGTCCCCAGCTCATCCCCAGTGTCCCCAGTTTGTCCCCAAGGCATTCCCAGTGTCCCCAGCCCATTCCCAGTGTCCCCAGTTTGTCCCCAGTGTCCCCAGTCCATTCCCAGTGTCCCCAGTGTCCCCAGCCCATTCCCAGTGTCCCCAGTTTGTCCCCAGCCCATTCCCAGTGTCCCCAGTTTGTCCCCAGCCCATTCCCAGTGTCCCCAGTCCCTCCCATTGTCCCAAATCCCCTCCCAGCCCCCCTCCCAGTTTGTCCCAGTCCCGCCCACTCCCCCTTTAACCCCTCCCACTCCCCTTTAACCCCGCCCAGTCCCCCTTTAACCCCTCCCACTCCCCTTTAGCCCCTCCCACTCCCCCTTTAACCCCTCCCAATCCCCCTTTAACCCCTCCCACTCCCCTTTAACCCC